CCACGACTTAGTAAGACATGGGAACGAGATTGTAATGCGTGGCCACGACTTAGTAAGGCGTGGGAACAAGATTCTAATGCGTGGCCATGACTTAGCAAGGCATGATCTCGTTCCCACGCCTTGCTAAGTCCTGGCCAGGCATTTGGATCTTGTTCCCATGCGTTAATAAAGCGTGGCCACGCATTATGTTTATTTATATGGGATGTCAGCAGCAGGGCTCCGTAGACTACAGTCTTTAATTGTAGAACTACATAGTGCACCTATATAGTAAGCGGAGCTGATCAAATAGACAATGAGTGTACAAACAAGGTGGGTGTACCTAATAAAGTGCTCAGTGAGTGCATTTGTGCTGTAGACATCGTGACCCCTGGTTACTGTCGCCACCATTGGGTGGCTTAGTTTCTCTAGGTGGGAGCGTTTCACACCAAACCGACTTTCTTTGCATCTCAACGATTGATATTGTGCAGAAAACTTGAAAGACCGGTGGAATTCCCCTTTAAGCTTCCCTGTTGGTCTCGCGTTAGTAACTGAGTCTATCCGTCTTTTTCTCCTTCTTCTCAGGCCCACTGAGTCAACGGCTGCACGTAGTCAGGCTTCCAAACACGTCCACGGTGCCAAGAAAGTGCCCGCGCGCAGCTCGGAGGACAGCGAGCTAAACAATGCTTAAGCAGCTGTTTGTAATTTGCGTTTTATGTGGCGTTCTGCAACTCGGCTACCTGCTGTGAGCGCGCGCCTCTGTGATTTCCTCTCCTCCCGCGCAGCGCGCGCTCCCCTGCACCGTATCATTTCGCTGTCATCGAAGGAGTCGTTAAAGCTGCGCGCGCTAATGGGAGCGCTCGGGGAATAAAGAAGTATTGACGGACGGAAAGCGCCTCGGGAGGGCCAGCCACTGTCTCCGGATGCAGGTGCTCGTGCTGACAAACACGAGGGGGGGAGACAAGCGGCCCACTAGGTGCCAACTGAGCAGAAACATGGAAACAGAATTGCTGGGAGAGTCGCGCGAGAAAGAAAGACGCGCGTTTAACCAAAACAATCGTGCATGCGCCAAGCTGAGCAACGCACATGTGGACCATGTGTGCTGACTGGCCACGTGCAGAGCTGCGGGCACCACAGCTCCTAATGCTGCAGACCGAAAAGCCCAAACCAGGCTGCTCGGATTTCAGAGAGTCTGTCAGATACTACTGATATACACTCTTTAAAAAAGGTTCTTCAAGGGTTCTTTAGTAAAGGGAATGGTGCTGATTACAACCACGAGTTCTAAACTCCATTTGCATGCTTGAGTGGTTCTTTGCATGGTGAAACTGTTCTTCAGATTAATGGAGAATGTGTTGTGTAGGGATCTATATAGCACCAAGAAGCGTTCTGCTTTTATTACGTCGTCAATACAAGAACCCTTTTTGGTGCTAAACACTCTTGAAACAGAACCTTTTTGAAAATGGTTGTATATAGCACCGAAAGGGTTCTTCTGTTGTTACAAGCTTGACATTGTTGTAACAATGACAGAACCCTTTTTGGTGCTACATACAACCATTTTCAAAAAGGTTCTATATATAGAACCATACACAACACACTCTCCATCAATCTGAACTTTTTCACCATGCAAAGAACCATTTAAGCATGAAAATGGTTCTATATAGAACTCACGGTTCTATATAGAACTCACGGTTATACATAGAACCATTCCCTTTACTGAAGGACCCTTGAAGAACCATCTTTTTTTTAAGAGTGTTCATACATATATCCACTCACCAAGCACTTTATAAGGAACACGAGTTCTAAACTCCATTTGCATGCTTGAATGGTTCTTTGCAAGGCGAAATGGTTCTTCAGATTAATGGAGAATGTGTTGTGTAGGGATCTATATAGCACCAAAAAGGGTTCTGCTGTTATTACGTCGTCAAGCTTGTGACAATACAAGAACCCTTTTTGGTGCTAAACACTCTTGAAACAGAACCTTTTTGAAAATGGTTGTATATAGCACTGAAAGGGTTCTTCTGTTGTTACAAGCTTTACAAAAAAAAAGTTTTCAAAAAGGTTCTATATAGAACCATATACAACACACTCTCCATCAATCTGAAGAACTTTTTCACCATGCAAAGAACCATTTAAGCATGAAAATGGTTCTATATAGAACCATTCCCTTTACTTTTCTGCTGTTATTACGTTGCCAAGCTAGTAACAATGCAAGAACTCTTTTTGGTGCTCTACACTCTTGAAAAAGAACATTTATAGAACCTTTTTTGAAAATGGTTGTATATAGCACCAAAAGCGTTCTTCTTTTGTTGCAAACTTGACATTGTTGTAACAATGGCAGAACCCTTTTTGGTGCTATATATAATCATTTTCAAAAAGGTTCTATATAGAACCATATACAACACATTCTCTATCAATCTATAGAATGTTTTCACCATGCAGAGAACCATTTAAGAACCCTTTACTAAAGAACCCTTAAAGAACCATCTCTTTTGAAGAGAGCTTATGTACACTCATCAAATACTCATGCTGGGTAGGGCCTCCCTTTGCTCTTGAAACTAAAGACAAGATGTTGGAAACATTCCTGATTCTGATCCATGTTGACATGATGACACCATGCAATTCCCGCAGATTTTCCAGGTGCACTTTCATATATGCAAATCTCCCAGTCTACCACATCCCGAAGGTGTTCTGTTGGATTCAGATCCAGTGATTGGAAAGATCACTAAAGAACACTGAACTCATTGTCATGTTCATAAAACCAGTTTGAGACGACTTTTGCTTTGTGACATGGTGCATTTTCTACTGGAAGTAGTCATTAGAAGATGGTAAATTGTGGCCATGAAGGGAAGAACACGGTCAGCAACAATATTCAATTAAGCTGTGGCTTTCACGCAATGACTGATTGGTATAAACAGTCCCGGAGTGTACCGAGAAAACATTCCCCACATCATTACACCACCTCCACCAGGCTGGACTGTTGACATGAGGCAGGCTGGGTCCATGGATTCATGCTGTTGGCGACCCAAATTCTGACCCTACCATCTCTGTGCCTTGGCAGAAACTGAGATTCATCAGTGAAGGCCACGTTTTTCCAGGCTTCAACTGTCCAGTTTTGGTGAGACTGTGCACACTGCAGCCTCAGCTTTCCCTTCTTGGCTGACAGAAGTGGAACCTGATGTGGTCTTCTGCTGTTGTAGCCCATTCGCTTCAAAGTTTGACTTGTTGTACATTCTGAGATGCTTTTCTGCTCACCGTAATGTACAGTGTTATCTGAGTTACTGTAGCCTTTCTGTCAGCTCAAACCAGTCTGGCCATTCTCAACAAGCTGTTTTTCAGTCTGCAGATCTGCTGTTCACTGGACGTTTTGTCTTTATTGCACCATTCTAAGTAAACTCTACAGACTGCTGTGCATGAAAATCCCAGGAGTTATAGAAATACTCAAACCAATAAGCACTGAAATCATGTTTTTCCCCATTCTGATAGTTGATGTAAACATTGCCTGAAGCTGCTGGCCCTTACCTGCATGATTTTATGCACTGCACTGCTGCCACATGATTGGCTGATTAGATAATTGCATGAATAAGTAGGTGTACAGGTGTTCCTAATAAAGTGCTCAATGAGTGTATATATACATCGACAGTGAAGGGCCCATATTTTACATTTTTCTTATATTTTTCCTCCTGAAGTCCACTTATGCTTATGTTGTTTTCTGTACCAAGAACAACCACAATTAATTGTTACATGACCTCAATTTATCCTTTAGATTTAGACCGTGTTACTGTGCCTTTAAGACTATATATATATAACATCTGTTCTGATTGGATAAACTGTATTGCATCCAGAATCAAAAAACAGCCCAGTCTGAAACACACTTTGTAACTTCAGGTGAATTAATATATGTAAATAGTGGTTTTCATGACATTTTAAATCAGAACAGGCTGTTTTTGCAGCTTGGCTCCCTTATGTAGTCTGTATGGACTATAACAATTTACATAGTGCACCAACCTCTCTTATTTAAAAAGATATGTGTTTTTCATGATATGGGCCCTTTAATATAGGTCAGATGATTTGCAGAAAAAAACAGTGATAGGAAGTTCAGTTTACTGGATGAATTCTTTAAAAGTCACCATTTCAATGAATCAGACATAATTGAACGATTATTCCAATTTGGCCCACATGGACGTAAACATTCTGTAGGTGCCACAAACAAGCTGATGACCGCCAGCAAACAGGCAAATTACATTGTAGTGTTATTACTTGAAAATAATATTGTCTATTATACTGCGCAGAGTACCAACACAACAAAAAGGAAGCGATCTATAGCGTCTGCAGTCAGTCTAAACGAAATCAACAAGGTTGTTGTTTAAATACTGCAATGAATCTGGATTTTATCTTTTGCCTATAATACGGATGGGGTGGTCTTGTCACTAGGTAAAAGTAAGCAGCTGCCTAGGGCCCTCCATTGGCCTAGGACCCTGTGGAAATAGAGTTTAGATATATTGTACATGCTGTTGTTAAATAAGCTATTCCTAGATATCTATACATTTTAAAAACAGCTGTTCTTTGCAATTTTAGTGATTGTTTTCTGTAACTGCAATGCAGATCCACCCCCGGTCATGATTATAATGGACTATTCCATGTTGTTACATGAAGACACAACCACATAAAGACAGACTGGTATGAACAAGGCAATTAAGCAATAATTTACATTACATTTTCATTTAAATTGTATTCTTCCATACAGCAGTACATAACACTAGTGTTAATGTCAGCATAGATAACTCCAGTGTTGGGATAAATACTCAAAAAAAAGTTAATAATTACTTCTCATAAAATGTAATAGGATTATGTTACTTGTTACCTCCTGGAAAAAAGTAATCTTATTACCCATGACTTTACTTTTTACTCAGTACCAAATTATTTTACTATATTGACAGATACTTTTGGTTGATTCATGAAAATGTCTTTAAACAAGCACAACGATCTGCCAATAGGGTAAGATAATTTCACTTAATAGCATTAAATGTCTAGAAATAAGTTTAATAATCTTATAGTATTCTTACAGCAATCTCTAAATGAGAAATATTAGATATAACCACTAGATATAAGATGATTTCACTCGCCAAGATAATTTTTTGCAGTGTAGACAGCTGTGTCACTAATTTAAAGGCGTGCATGCAGGAGACCCCATCCCTGTATGCGGCCCAGAGCCTCAGAATCACTAAATCCGCCCCTGACTGTTGTGTATGTGCTAGAAACCCAATTCAGTTGGAATCGGTTCAAAAGAACGATTCGTTCACCAGCGGTTCAGCCCGCGTGGAAAAATTTCCCGCGAAACTACAAAGGCACTCGCAGTGGACTTTTCCATTGTGAATACAGCCAAGTAGAGGGGTGGACGCTCACACGAGCATTGGAAAATCGGCCTGTATTCACGAAAAACAGAGTTTCTCGTTTAAGTTCGGTGTTTAACTGTGTTGAGTGTGCGGTGAGGGCGAGAATCCACTGGAAAAAGTCTTTCAAAAGCACATCACAACGGTTTAGTCGTTGCTCTCCCACCCCCTGCATTTTCGCACTAAGTACATGCGCCTTTTCGCTCTTGTTGTTTTTTAAACTCTCCGTCGTATGAATGGGATTTTAATACAGCCGATTTCAGTAAAAACTATAAACGTTTCGTTTTTTTTCCTTTGAGACCAAACATGTCCACACCGGTGAAGGTAAGGACGATGAAGTTAATGTTTTTCGGTAGTTTTTAAAGCTTAAAAGAGACATTTTTTGTGTATTTTAAGCCAGAAAACTCGGCACATTTAACGTTATTTCGCTAGTTAACATTACCTAGCTAACTAGCTAACTTACCTCAGTTAGGTTAAATAAATTAATGAATGTAAAGTTGTTGAAAACGCACTTTAAGTGAAAGTGAACCGGCGGTTCTGTGCGAGGCTTTCCTGTTCTCCAGCTTCTTATTCGAATTTTCCCGTTCCACCTTAAAAGGTGCAGCATTAGATTCTGGAGCCTGCACCATTTAAGGTGGAGCGGGGAACTTCGAATAAGAAGCTGACTTCATCCTAGTTTGTCCTGGTCTGTGAATTCAGTAGCGTTGGCTAGGTTAACTTTTTTCTTTTCTCAGCCAAACGCCGCAAATATAACGTAATGCAATGATTAATTTATTTCTCAAATAATTCTGAAACTAACGTTACAGCTCAGTTAGGTTAGCTAGGTTACCAAGCAGGGTGTTTTAACTCAGTGTTGTAGATTGACTAATAAATTCGTTAATTTGAATGTTTCACATTGAGCAAAACGGCCTTCATGGTTTTTCCGCTGGTGCTGAAAGGTGAAAGGTGTGGGCGAACGGCTGCACGATATGGACCTGATGTGCGATGCAGTTCTTCGATATTGCGATGATGATATGAATTGAAATCATTTAGAATAGATATAAAATACTAACTGACCTGATTAGGGACTGAGGGACAGTAGGGGTGAGCAATATGGCAAAAATATAATATGCCATACTTGAAGCTTTATGATGCATGATATGTATCTCAATATTTTTTTAAATACTTTAAAAACTGTAACTATAATTTTAATGATCTTTTTCAGTGTTTTACATGCTGCACTACTGTAAATTCAGTAAAAAAAAGGACATTGTACTCTCTTTTTAATGAATCACTGTAATTCAGTGTTCTTCACGTAGTGATATTTACGATATACTCAGAAAAGCATATTGTGACATGATTAATCACGATAATGTTAAAATTGTCTGCTAGAGTTTTACCCCTGGTAATCAACTGATGAGTTGATTTAGGTGTGTTTGGGCAAGAAAATCGGCAAACTCTGCAGGAATCCAGGGGCCGTACAGAAAATTTTTAAGTCTCAGATCTGCTTTGTTGTTTTGGCAACTTCAGTTAAGACTGAATTTAGGACAGAAGCCTTTACAGAACAACAGTTCTTAAGTCTGTAATCTTATTTCCAGATAAGAAAACTGTGTTACAGAAACATCCTAAGTTGCCAAAATAGCCTAAATATTTTCTTAACTTTAAGATAAACCCCAGAGCGTCTTAACTTCTGTTTTAATTTCTGTTTTAATTGTTTTATGCAGTGATGGGCAGCATAGTTCACTATAACCAGTATAATAATGCTACATTTATCTACGCTGAAAACGGTGCGTTGACTTCTGAGTTTTTTTTAACAGCGTTTAAAAGCCCCAGACGCTGCAGTCACGATCTCCACCGTCCCTCTTATTACCTTCGTGTGTTATTGTTGATGAAATCTTGTCAGATAAAATATTACAGTGATGGTGGTGAATAATGAGGACACAGAGCTGAATGTGTGTCTGTTTATTAGGAGGAATAACGTTAGTGCGCTCGGCTAAAGCGTTTGGGAAATTAAACTGAAACTGTGAAGTGGCGACGCTCTGGAAAAACAGCACAAAGCGCTGCCACAATATTCTTAACTTCCAGTTTGTCGCGCCTTAGTTTTATTTGACTTTTAGCTCTTTATACCAGTAACGGCAGCTAATGTTAGCTGTCTAACTAACTAACTTGATTAGCTACGTGTTTACGTTTCAGCTGTGCATGTATGGTCGGTTGCTAGGTAACAGACACGACAGTTGATTGTCGACTTCAGTCGATCAAGTTAAGATTTCCTAACTTGAGGTAAAATGAGATGAGATGATGAAGATAAGATTCTTAAATTAAGATTAGATTTGCTTCTGTAATATGAATTTGTGAAAAATCTTATCTTGACCTGTCGGATCTTAAGACAAAAAGAATTTTCTGTAATACGGCCCCTGTAATATGGTCCTCTAGCACTTCCTCCCTCCTGGACTAGAGAATTAATAACACAAGCTATTGTTTCGGACTTCTGCATTTAGGGCTGAACGATTTGGGTACAATATCTAATTGCGATTTTTCTGACCAATATTGTGACTTTATTATTATTATTATTATTATTATTATTATTTTTTTTTATTATTATTATTATTATTATTATAATATATGTGATGTAAGGTTCAGGCCTGTTATTTTGGACCAGGGGGTGTATTACAGAAACTTCTGTAAAAAGTTAAGATCTGACAGGTCAAGATAAGATTTTTCACAAATTCATATTACGTATTATCTTATCTTACGGCATCTTATCTCAAGTTAGGAAATGTTAAACTACTCAATCAAAGTCGACAGTTAACTGTCATGTCTGTTTCCAAGCAACCGATGATCCATGCACAGCTGAAACGTAAATGTGTAATCAAAATAATGTTAGAATGTAAGTTACAGCTGCCATTACCGGGGTAAAAAAGGGTCAAAAGAGAACTGAAGTGCAATAAACTGGAAGTTAAGAATATTGTGTGTATCAGAGCGTCGCTGCTCCTCAGTTTCAGTGTGTATTTTCCAAGTGCTTTAGCTGAGCGCGCTAACATTATTCCTCCTAAAAAACAGACACCCGTTCAGCTCTGTCTCCTCATTATTCACCACCATCACTGTAATATTTTATCTGATGAGCGTCTGGGATTTTTAAAATGCTGCAAAACCTCACAAGTGAAACTACTGTTTTGCAATGTAAATGAATGTAATGTCATTATTCTAGTAGTGAACTATGCTGCCTGTCACAGTTGCCTAAAAATAGAAATGGGCATTTAAAACAGAAGTTAAGACACTACTGGGGTTGTCTTAAAGTCAGGACACAGTTTAGGAAATTCTGTTTAGGATGATTCTGTTATACTGTTCTTATCTGCAGTTAGGATGAGATTATGAACTGTTATTCTGTTATGGCTACAGATCTAAATTCAGTCCAAACTGAAGTTGTAATGGTGACTAAACAGATAAGATTTCAGAGTTAAGATGTTTCTGTAGTTCAGCCCTAGATCATCCACTTTTTCTAGTTTGAGGCTTGATTGCTGAGTGTATGCTAGACTCCTGATCCCACTGCTTGCTTTTGATTGGTCTAACTCCTCTATAGGCAGTAAACTTAAAGCTGCGCTATGATTTTCATTTTTCTTTTCAAAAATATGAAATTTGCACAGTTGTCCACTTCCTCAGATGTTTGCTATCTAAAGTCTGCTTCTTTAGTTTAGAACTGTAGCTGTGAGTTTAACCTTGCTGACAAAAACAAGAATAGCCCAAATAATTTCAGTCAAAAATACATCCCCAAAACCTCTTTCAACCCACTGAAACCCCATCCAGGCCTCCATTAAGGTTGCTCAGACTTGCTGATGTGGTTTAGGGCACAGCATGGCTTAGATGTGTACAGCATGTTTATTGTAGCACGTGCACTACAGGCAGCCACTTTAGACAACAGGATCTGTATTTACATTGATCTCAGGAGTAGCAGTGCTGATCTAGAGCCATTATTTGTCACAATGACCATCATAAATACAGAGCAGTGTGATCCGAGATCAGTCCTGATCTGTAAATACCAGCCCTGGTGTTGTCTGAAATGGCTGCTGGTAGTGGGTGAAGTTTTGTTCATTTTTACAGTTCACAGTAAGTCATACTGTGCTCTAAACCACATTCACACCTTAAAGAAGACCTGGATGCATTTTGAATGGATTGGCAGAAGTTCTGAGGATGTATTTACATGGAAGATTTGGGTGTCCATTGAGTTCTAGTATTTGTTAGCAACATTAGCTTTGTAGTTCCAGTTTTAAACTACAAAATGTGGACACCAGACTAGTGTTGGTGGATTAGTTACATCGGGGTTAAGTGGAAAGTTAGGTAAACAGAATTTTTCACCAAACTGTTTCTTTATAGTTATAAGAAACAGCATAACTGAGCCAGGAGGGAAAAAAAAAATGTGAGTCACCATTTAAAGCCTACATCTTTTCTGTCTGTCTGTCTGTATATATATATATATATATATATATATATATATGTATATGTATGTATGTGATATACAGACAGACATACATACATTTAATAACTTAATACACACACACTCACTCATGTCCTCAGAAGACACGTCATTTAAGCTCTGACTGAGCTCTCTTTGAATGCTCTTTCAACGTGTTAATCATATCAGTCCTGTCGGGGAAATCTAACACATTTGTATAGTTACATGTAAGAATTCAATTGATTTGTACTTTTTGTATTTTCAAATGATGACAATTTTATTTGAAATTATCTACATTTTAGTCACATTGGTTTCTGATTCTAATACACATCTGTCCTGCTTTGTAGTTGGTCTCGCCTCTGAAATCTGAGGCTTATTTTATGTAAAAGTGCATCAAAAAGAGAAGCTCCTTTCAAGCTTCAGTTGCCTGTGCTAATAGGTGCTGAATTTGGTAAGACATTTTGCTGCAGTTGAATGTTACACAATGGTTGAGTAACTTTTCTTCTTCTCAAATTGTTTTTTGGAAAAGTAATTTTACTTCTACTTGAGTCATTATTTCACCAGGTACTCACCAGTACTCTACCTAGGGTATGCTAACCACGCCATGAGGCAAATAGCAAAATGTTCCATGTTTCACACAAGATCATTACTGATTCATCTTAAATCTCTCTAGTGTAATTACATCACTCTCTTTCTCTGGTGTAATTACATCACACTGGCACAGTACACATGTAATGTAATTTCAGCTGTTCTGTTATCACAGCCTTTCTCAGTGCGTTTGTTGTGAAAACTAATAGTGCAAGCATGATAAATGTGATTAACTGTGCAGCTTTAGTGTAGGTGATTGATTTGTGCCTGAGCTTGATTAAATGTCATTGTTTTATTACATTTTTCAGAAAGTTTTGGCAGATATATTTGAAAGCCCTAGCGATGAAGAAGAATTTCTTGGTTTTGGAGTTGATTCTTCAGAGGAGCTCTCAGAGGAGAGTCGAGACAGCTTCCGCTCACAGACCTCCTGGAAGCCAGTGAGTATAATATATTTTTGTTGGATTATTTATTTATTTTATTTATTTTATTTTTTTTCCCTGTTACCTTCTCTTCGAAGAATTTGTATATTATATGTGTCTACAAAGCAGTGTGAATGGGCTGCAAGTCTGAAGTTCAGACAGTGCTGTGTATTTGATTCTGGGTTTGTATTGTCTCTCTTTGTCTCATAGGTCCTTCATTTCAGGTCTAAATTCATTACAGATGAGTTGGCACATATCTTCATGGACACAGACAGTGAAGAGGAGTTTGAAGGGTTCAGTCAAGAGGAGAGCTCTCTACGCAGCCACTGGATGAGCTCCAAGGTGAGTGGCGAGTATAAGGATTATTTCTTTTTCTCTCTATGAATGCATATCTGCACTAGTTTATTTCCATTTATTACTTTTTTCTGGTAGGTTTCAGAGTCTGAGGAAGACAGTGATGACATCGGTTTTTATTCGGATGATGACAATCCAGCCCCACAACGAAGGCAAAGTTCTGGTTTATGTGTTGCATTCAGGTTTCCTGTCAGACGAAGCTCCAACCATGAAAGGCCAGTGCCAAAGAAATCCTCCAAGATGGCCGAGTCAAGTGTTCCACCAGTCACTCAGCCTACAGTGAGAACCAGAAAGAGGAGAGGAGGCCAAGCAGATGCATCTGTGGCATCTAAAAATGGAAAAACTGAGAAAAGATTTCGTATCGCCAGAAATGAATCTGAGGAGGAGGAGGATGATGAACTGACTGAGGCAGACATACAAATACTGAGCAAAAGGGCTAAAAATATTCAGGAGAACAAAGCTATGGTAAATGGATTGAATTACATAGTTCAACATTTAAAGTTCTTGGGAATTTTGGGAATGTTATTAAATCATTGTGTGTATGTGTTTGCTCACAGCTTGCAAAGCTATTTGCAGACCTGAATGCCTTACCAGAACTCTCGCCAAAGACAACTCCTTCAGTAAGTGCTATTTTTTTTATAATTAGGGATGCACCCTTATGGTGATTGTGGGCTGATGCAGATATCTGGGATTTCCCTATGTACATATCTACCAAAGCCAATATTGATACTAATGCATAGATATATATAAAATGTACAAATTGGGACTACACAAGTGCGGTAAAATTATGCTGATATTTTAGCACTGTAGCCCAGCATCACCTAGACCAGGGATCAGCAAAAAAAAAAAAGAGCCATTTTGTCTTGTTTCAACAAAAATCAAGCCACCTTGGGAGCCACAACATTTTATGTCCATTGTATTGGATTAACATTTTACTATCTTGACTGTAAATGTGTCAGTACATGCTGATGTGCTAGTAAAGGCAAAAAAACATAATATAAATGAAAATCCAGACTCGCTTTGCTCTGCTTTAAGCTTTAGCTCAGCTATGGCAGCTTTTCTTGCGTCTCAAAGCAAAAGTAGAATAGTTTCTTGTAAAATGTCTCTCAACATTCAACTTTTTTTTATGAGGCTGAAGTCAGCTTCTCATTCGCCAACTTCTTGTTCAGATTTCCCCGTTTCACCTTAAATGGTGCTTGAGGTGCCAGAATGTAACTGCTGCACCGTTTAAGGTGAAACGGGAAAATTTAAGCAAGAAGTTGGCGAACAAGAAGCGACTTCAGCCTCGCAACTTTGTAGTGTTCGACAGTTTCCCTTTGTGGATTAAATGTATCGGGAAGCCAGCTGGAATGATTATAAATGCAAATAAGTCCATTCATCTCCAAATTATCGATGTTCATCTTAAATGTTTCTTTGCTGTTTCGTTAGCTACTAGCTAGGCAGGATTGTCTGCGTTGCTATGGTGACCAGCAGTCTGTGTGCCAATTTTCATGGTTAAAGGTTGGTGAATTAGCACATATAGGCTACATTAACTCCAGAGTTTAAGACCATTTATTGTTATCTAACTGCGTTAGAACGAACAGTAGGGCTTTATTTTACTGCAAAGGAGGTTGTGTGTATTTTGGTAACTTATTTATTTATTTATTTATTTATTTATTTATTTATTTATTATTATTTTTTAATAAAGCTAAAAATCTGCTTCTGCTGTGGAGCCTCAACAAGGCAGTAAAAGAGCCGCATGCAGTTCAGGAGCTGCATGTTACTGACCCCTGACTTACACATTGTGCTCTTCTAGAGTACAACAAATCAAATGTCATTCTGAAATATCTGTAAAATCTAAACATCTAACCAAGGTGCAAATAATGCCTACACCATGCACATACCAAGCCAGTGAGACAGCTAACTAGCTCTGTTTACATGTAAGGTTAATTGGCCCATGTCATACATTTTTTTTCTTGACTTTGATCTGAGGTCCCACTTGTGTAGTTTGGTGTAGTTCTATATACCAAAAGAAGGTCGTAGTTAATTTTTACATTACTGTTTTCCATGGGGTGGGTGGTGCGGAGTCTCTAGATGACTTCAGTGTGAATAGGCAAACCCGCATAGGCTGAAAATGGTGAAATCAAACAGGCTGTTTTTTCTGCTTTGTTTGTATGGACTGTAAAGACTGGGGTGGGAATGGTGTGTTTTGAAACTTTTAACAATGTTTGCATACAGCTAGAGCTGGGCAACATGACAATATTTATTGTTATCGTGATAAATTGCATCACAGTGTGTCACAATATGTTTTTCTGGGCGTATCTTGGATATTGTCAGTACTTGAAAATCACCTCCGAACTTCATTTTTGATTAAAAAACGAAAGCATAATTAGCACTGTTTAACTGGATTTTGTGCAACAAAGTGTGAAAAGTTGAATACAAGTAATTGCATTCGTTGTTTTTGGTAACATTTTTAAAATGTGGCCCTGCTGTGTTCTAACTTATCAGATGTCAGAAAAAATAAATATTGGGACACGTGTGTATCGCTAAAAAAACTTCCTGAAGTATTATATTACATTTTGCCATATCTCCCACCTCTTTTATTTCAAAAAGGGAGGGAAGGTGTTCCATGATGTGGGCCTAGGTGTTTTTAGAGTGAACAGAATTTACTAGCGAGTTTAAATGAATTTGATTTTGAGATCCTCATACAGTTGGTGGGCAGAAACTGTACTGTTTAAACACTTCTATGCCTCTCTTCAAAGTGATATCAAGACTGGTATTTGGAAGTCTCATTACCTGCTATTGCCACTTGAGTTACTGCTTACTCCTCTGTTTAATAATGTCATTAATTTCTGGTCATCTGAAGAAAAGGAAGCAGCACGCTCCAAGAAAGCATGTATCTGAAGTGCAGAGCGAGAGGCGGAACCCCAGCCGCAAGGCCAGACCCCCAGAGCATTTCGGGTTGGAGCAGGAGCCGGTCATTTCTACGAAACCAAAAGGAAGGAGCTTAGCAATAGACCTCAAGAAACTAATGGAGGTAAAAAGTGCATTCACAGACTCCTTCTGTCATACAGCCGCTGTGTTTTATACTACCCAAGTGCTGTTTTCTGGATGCTGTCGAAGCCAGAAGTAAATATTTTCAGTCTTACTGCAAGACTAGACTTATCCTTCTTTTCTGAGTGGCTGCTTCCAAGCATGTGTTAAAGAGATCAGGTTGAGTTTTGACCATTGATTAAACAAAACATTAAAAAAATGGATGTTTCGCAATCTTTTCTTATCTTTGATATTTCTTTAATGTACACAGGTGGACATGGACTTGCGAGAAGATGGAGCCAGGCAGAAACGGCAATACAGAAAGCGTGCTTCTGTGCGAATGCCAGAGGACATCACAGAAGAAGAGCTGGACAACGTCGCTGACCGTTCTAAAGACAAAATTCTTGATAAAGAAAATGTACGTTGAAATTAAGATTGAAGTGATCACACGCTTGCTTGAAACTGTGTGGAGTTGTTAAGTAATCTCTTTTTTGTTTTTTTTTTTTTCTTTTTGTTAAGTATGATTTGAGCACTGTACGTGTTCAATTATTTTACATTATTTTTAACACTAAGAACAGAGAAAGAAGACGGAGGAAGAAATTGATTCATTGAGTTGTAACTGTGCAAACAAGTCGCGTTCTGCTAAAGGTCTGCAAACAGCCACTGGCTCACGGGAGCTGAAGCTCTGTGGTCTGTGGTGGAGCTTGAGGCTCTGTGTCAGCTCAGAGCGTTACAGTTAACAAGCACTACAGAAGCCACCCTGAGCTCTGTGTAGGATGGCATATTGTGGTGGTGTTGTAAAACTCAGTCCTTAAGGCTTTGTAGCTTCTCTAGTGCAAATGGAAACTGTCCTAAATGTAGTCAGTATAACTTGAATTTGTTTGTGGGTTTTAAATAATGAGAATTCATATTTATTGACAGTTGTGGCTCAATTTGGCACTTTTCAAAATCGCTGATTATCCCAGGTTTGCATCTTTGAAAATGGAAAAAGAAATTCGCACAAAAATCAGGCTTCAGGATGGAAGCTGGTACTGTCTTAACTATCTAAAGAGTATGTCCATTTTACTGAGGCAAAACCTGACTTGCTTAGAAGTGACAGGAGCTGCACTTCTGAAGAGAAAAGGGTTCATTTGAAGGATTGTGTATTTTGCAACTCAAGTGACTCATACAAGATAATGTGTTTTTCAGGGCAGTACTTGTCATCAGTGCAGACAGAAGACTTTAGACACCAAGACTGAGTGCAGGAATCCTTACTGTCGAGGGGTCAAAGGCCAGTTCTGTGGACCCTGCTTGCGGAACCGCTACGGCGAAGATGTTCGCACAGCCTTACTAGACCCTGTAAGTCCCCCCCCAAAGAAACTTTTAAAAAACCTAACCCTAAAAACTCCTGGTAGTTGTACAGTGTTAAATGTGTAAAATATCTAATGTAAAATAATAAGGAGATCATAGTATTTAGTACATAAATACACAAGCAGAGCTTGCCAAAAGTTTACACTAGAAAGTGATCTTGTTGCAAGTAACCAGTATTCAACAAAGCATTTCCAGTTTGATTGATTAGCACAATGTAAATGTCAAATATTGGATATCTTTCTTAGACACTCCTGGTTTATCCTTTAAAACAATGTTATCTTTACTTATATGATTTCATATGAGGACATGATATAAGAATTGGTTTGCAATAAAAATATGTCTGGGAATGATTAACAGCTTTAATTTGGATTTTGTAACAAGATGGTGTCTTTTTGTTTGTAGACGTGGGAGTGTCCTCTCTGCCGAGGTGTGTGTAACTGTAGCCTGTGCCGAAAACGAGACGGGCGCTGTGCCACAGGTGCCCTTACCCGCTTAGCCAAGTTTTATGGCTATCACAATGTCAAAGAGTACTTAGAAAGGTATGTACACTTTCTTCTTTGTAATGTTGTTTTATGTCAGTATCATTGTACTGGGGCAGTCGTGGGCTGGAGGTTAGGGAAGCAGCCTTGTGACAGAAATTGGACAGGTTTGATCCCCAGAGCCGACAGTACGTGACTGAAGTGCTCTTGAGCAAGGCACCCAACCCCCAACTGCTCCCTGGGCACCATGGATAGGGCTGCCCACTGCCCTGGGCAAGTGCGCTCACTGCCCCCTAGTGTGTGTGCATTCATTAGTGTGTATGTGGTGTTTCACTGCACGCATGGGTTAAAATGCGGAGGTGAAATTTCCCCTCTGTGGGACAAATAAGGGTCACTTAATTATTAAATTAATTAATAATTTAATATGCTTATAGTACTGTGTCAGAATCAGAGATCCTTCATTTATTTCATTTCCAGTACAAGTAGAAGTTAATTAATTTTTACTACCTGGGGAGGAAATTTACATTAACTAAACATAATCTTAAATGTTTCACTGTTTAGTGTGTCCTTTGTCTTTTATTATATTCTGCTTTCAGTTTTTCAAAGAAATGTGCAGGGATTTTAACCCACACCTCCAAAGTTCAGTCTTAGAAGTTGGTTGCATTTTCTTCTTTCTACTTGAAGCAAGAATGGATTTTCTCCTCTCTCTGAAAGATGAAAGCTTTAAGTACTGATGGGGACTGTTTTAGTTGTTTACCAGGTCTTGTGTTTTGGGAAAACTTCTGTTTTTTTTTGTTTTTTTTTGTTTTTTTTTGTTTGTTATTTTCCTTTGACTTTCTTTGCTTATGCAAGTGATTTTATCTTGTGCCTAATCTTTTCAGAAACATCTTAATAACATACTTAATGTTTTACATGGAAATTAAACAAATGAATGTCACTGACTCTGAGATATATATATATATATATATATATATATATATATATATATATATATATATATATATATATATATATATATATATATATATATAAAATCACATAAGCCAAGACCTGTATGAAAAGGTTCTCTCTGTTTTCCTCTGTCTTTCCTACTTTTAGATTCCCACTCAATCTGATATATTACACATTACTTATAATTGACAGTTAACGTGTGACATTTTGTCTTTTGCAGTCTACAGAAGAACCTTGACTGAAGCCTGCCTGCTGTTGGGATTGAGCTGCATTTTATCAGGTGTTTCGTCAAAGAGACACTTTCTTTTTCCTTTCACTGTCCAAATCCGCAAGACTGCTGAGATATAGAAAAGCAGTCCTGATTTGTTTGTTAAAGCCTGCTGTCTACCAACAAAACAGCCAAACAGCTTCAGTTGATCTGTAGAGTTTTAGGAGTGCCTTGTCCACTTTCATTCAGTCATTTTCTTATTGATCTAAAGAGTTAGTTGCTCTTTATTTCGACTTGCGCGTAGTTTATTTTTCTTTAGCTTTGTAGCTTTTAAAGAAATCATTCTGTATATTTCAAGGTAAGTAAAGGACCGCATGGTCAGATATGCAAATGATTATGAAGCCAGTCAAAACTGCTACATGATTAATGGACTTGCTTACTCAATTGACCAAAAAGTTGTCCACTGTAAGAAATGGTAAAGCTAATGCACTGGATTTATGTCAAGTAAAGATTGTTTTGAGTTCAGTCTACTGTTTTATACTTCAGCCTGTTTTCAAATTTGAACAGACCAAAGGGTTTTCTTCCTAACATATGGTCTTCCCAAAACATGTTGAAACCTTTTTACTCAAAACATGAAGCGTTCTCTGAAGCCTTTTAGAGAAGAGTACATGAGTACATTGTGTTTTAAACTGAAATGGGCACCAGATTTTGTTTACTATCGTAATATAGTTTAGAGACGCAAAATGTTTTGTTGTTTTGACTCTTTACTCAAGCACTTTTGAAATTAATCAGTGACTGGAAATTTAATGCATTGTCCAGTACATTTCAAGTATTCTCCTCAATTAAAACAGTAAAACATATGCTGGCAGTTGTTCATTTTGATGCATTTTTGGAGATTCAGTTCCAGGTTAGAAGAAAAAGATGCCAGCAATTGTGCTTAGCAGAGATGGATGGAAGGAGAAGCATACTGTATTTTTAAATGGTTATGCGGTGAATCCAGACGCGAACTTGGTAACATCCTTGTCTTTTTGCTTTGAGTCTTTTATTCTTTTTTAATCCAAACTCTTTAAATATTTACTTTACGGTCCCAATAAAGCTCTTACATTTGGCATGTATCTCATGTGACTTGATATTATATGGATCTGTGGAATCAAAGTTGTTTTCAATAAAGACTGTGGACCTGATTTCTTTTCAGCTTTGTAATAGAACATGTTAATCACTTGTACTACTTCTTAAAATAAAACCATTCTGATATTCTGTTATTCCCTGTATTAGTGTACTTTAACAGAATGAGAGATAATACATGCACGTCAGGCTACAGTGATGATCTAAAAACAGTGTTCTTCAAACTACACCTTAAATGTGGTGGCTACTATAAAGCAGGCTAAACTCTGATGCGTTGGTCAAAAAAACAATATAAAAGCAACCAAATGACACCAAAACAAAGCCACAAATTTAAACATTTTAAAGCTGAGATATCAAAGGTTTTTTTTTTTTTGTGAAGTAAAAACAGCAACAAACATTTCAGTCAACAGACTTTCATCAGTGCTACACAAACATGAAGTCAAAAAATGAGAACTCTAGGCTACAATTAAGGATATTTTACAATGGCTCAGTGCAGTTAACAGCACAGATTGTAGTTTAGCTTTTACCATTTACTGCATTGTGTTGCCATAAGGCAACAATTATTTTTTATTTTTTTACAATTTATTTCTTGTCTGCTTACAATATAAATGTCTTTTTCCCCTTTTTCTTTGGGAAGCCGAAGGCTTATGTTTACCTGATCTCATGCCTAAAAGTAACAAGTTATTCTTATAAATAAACCGTTATAGCTGCTTGGTTTTACATCAAACCAAACTCTTGCCATATATGAAAAGTAATATGTAATGTGCACAATGGGAGTAGATTAACATTCTGCCATTAGACACAATGGACAGGCATTTTCACATCATTTTTATAAGTAGCCTTTAAAGATTTGACATAGCTTTGAATTAATTTATTAATGGTTAAAAAATCAAAGGGCAGTAGTGAGCTATTGCTTGCCAAATAATAAAATAGAACAGGTCACTGAAAAAATATGTCCATTTTGAATTTGATGCCAGCAACATGTTTCAAAAAAGTTGAGACAGGCATATTTACCACTGTGTTACATCACCTCTTCTTATAACAACACTCCAAGCGTTTGGGAACTGAGGAGACCAACTGCTGTAGTTTTGAAAGTGAAATGTTTTCCGTTCTTGCAGTGAATTCTCCCATGAATTTTGATTTGTCGGACCACAGGACACCTTTCCACTTAGTCTCAATCCATCTTAAATGAGCTCGAGCCCAGAGAAGGTGGCAGCATTTCTAGATCTTGTTTATATATGGTTTCTTCTTTGCATGGTAGAGTTTTAAATTGCATTTGTGGATGCAGTAATGAACTGTGTTCACAGACAGTGTTTTTCAGAAGTGTTTCTGAGCCCATGCAGTGATTTCCACTACTGAATCATGTCTGTTTTTAATGCAGTGCCATTTGAGGGCCCGAAGATCACCAGCAAATACTGGTTTTTGGCCTTGTCCCTTACATACAGAGATTTCTCCAGATTCATTGTTATAATGTACTGTAGATGACGAAAAGCAAAAGTTCTTTGCTATTTTATGTTGAGAAATGTTATTCTTGAATTGTTGCACTACTTGCCTGTGCAGTCTTTCACAGAGTGGTGAACCCCTCCTCATCTTTACTTCTGAAAGACTCAGCCTCTCTGAGATGCTCTTTTTATACCCAGTCATGTTCCTGACCTGTTGCCAATTAACTGTTTAACCTAATTAGTTTTTAAAAAAAAAAAAACAAACAAACAAAAAAAACGAAGTTTAAATGATTTTCACATCATTGCATTCTGTTTTTATTTACATTTTGCACAGCGTCCCAACTTTTTTGGAAAAGAGGTTGTATTTGTGTTGTAACTGCTTATTAATGATTTTAAAGGTGTTCATGTCTTAATTAATTACCATTAATAGACCACCTTCAAACCATTCATAAGTCCTTTATAAGGCAGTCTAATTCTAAAGTGGTACCAATAAATGTGTCAAAACTCTTTTTGAAGCCCACCTACCTTCTTTATTAGTATACTATTTTGTCTTTTTGGCCCTTAGCCCACCACAGACACATGCACTTCGACTCCACCAAGACTTAAAAGTAACACCATGCTGTTAGAGTAACAGCATGAAGAAGTACCTATTCTAGACAACAGTCCCTCCTGGCCTCTCCATGACCCTGTTAAGGAAGTCTTTGTAACAATGGACCATGTTCAGGCTTACCTTTCTAAAGAAAGCTTTTCACTAGTGTAAATCTCCACTCCTTATGAAAGAGCTCTTGAAGCAAGATTGATTTTCATATGTGGCTTTTATTCTGCAGCTTTCTCTAAACCTTTTCTGGCCTCCTGGTGTGAATGTTGGAAATAGAACAGTTTTCCTCTGTTAACCTACATGGAACGATGTAGTTTTATGTGAAGAAGTATGGTATGTCTTATATATTATTGCAGTAGGAAAAACCTCCATTTTGTTTATTTTTTATGATATAATTTGGAAGTTGCAGTTGCCATTGATACTGGTTTCCTACGAATGGACCAATAGCAATCGCCCAAAATGACTTGTAACATTTTTTTTCACTTATATTGAAAGTCAAAGTGTCCTTATTGTGGAAAACCAAATTTAGCTCACTTTTTCGAATAACGTAGTATGTAAACATTGCTAAACTTTCAAAATACCATTCACTCCCCAGTTCATACAGTCCGTATTTTGAATTGTAACAGCCTCTACTTGTCTAAGAAGGCTTTACACTAGATGTTGGAACATTGCTGTGAGGATGTGATTGAGCATTAGTGAGGTCAGGTACTGATGTTGGATGATAAGTTCTGGATCACTCCAACTCATCCCAAAGATTTTGGATGGAGCTCCATCACTACAGAGAACACAGTTCTGTTGCTCCACAGTGCTGGGGGACTTTAGACCCCTCTAGCTGATGTTTGCCACTGGGCATGGTGCCCTTAGGCTCGTGTGTGGCTACTCCAGAGCGTCCTTTTCTATCAGCAGTGCTTTTCCAAAGACATTGGAAGGAGCTCCATCACTCCAGAGAACACAGTTCCACTGCTCCACAGCCCAGTGCTGGCGGGCTTTAGGCCCCTCTAGCTGATGTTTGACATCGATCATGACCTTACTCTCTAATGTGGCTGCTCCAGAGATTCCCGTTCTATTGGCAGTGCTTTTCTAAGGAGATTGCACGAGCTGAATGTTGCTGTAGTATGATTTTTTTCCTCACATTTTTCTTGTTCAATGACTAATTACAGTACAATCATGTGGTGAAAAGATCATTAAATGTTCACCTCTTCAGGGCTAATGTACTCATTCAGTCTTCAAATAACCATAGTACATGATTACAAATTATGCAGTGTCTAATTCATATGCATTGATGGAGATGAGACACTGTTGAAAACCCACAGTAGGTTCTTCAGTGTCATTCTCAATGCTGAGGTTAAATGAACCGAAGTGTTTGGTGCCCCCCCCCCACATAATAACAGTATATTTAAAGGACCTGCTGGTGCATTCATAGTGACACAGACACATGCCGCTGTTCCTCTCTTTCTTTAACCACTCTTTCTCCTCCTTGTTTGTTTGTGTTTTGTGTTGCACCCTAAGGGGCCCTTGGCCAATTTCAAAGGCCTGGAAATTAAGCAGTGCTCATAGAGGCTGTATAGAGTGTATTAGAGGCTTAGCTTTCTGTGTGTACATTACATACTCAGAAAATAAGTGTGCAGTGTCTGATGAAAGCACTCTTGTATGAGGAAAACCTGGCTGGAGAAGTAACAACTGTCTTTTTTCATAGTTTTCTGACAGCCACTGAAGTCCTGTTGTCATTCTATAGTTGGTATCATGCCCATATTAGAAGCTCCAGGTCTAAGCTGGATTTATCTGTGGCCAAATGAATGGGATTTACTATTGCGCTCTGTGGTAAACAAAAATGTTCCAATACATTTTGCACCTCGTTTACTAAAATCAGTTGAAAAGTTCTCTCAGGAGCCAAAAGTGATTCTCATTTGGCAGCTCTGCCTGAAGTGTGGCCTGTGAGGACGTTTGATTTGGCCTTTGAGTTGCCCTTTCCCTAGCCCCCTCACCCAGTGAGAGAACTAACATATCGAACAAAACCTTGTATCTCCAATTTTCAGTTTTTGACTTAATTTGAAAATGCCTGTTGTCCTTTACATTGTGTGTAAATTTCATGATAGACCAAAAGAAATGCCACAAAATTACTTGTTGGGTGGGGGGAACTTCTGGTTCCATTGACTTACATTAAAAGTAAGGTATGTTTTTTTCCTTCTCTTGTAAAGTTATTTTGGAGACAGCAGCAATATTTCTAACTTAATACATTCTTAATTTTTCTATGTGGTAATGTTTAAAATATTTGATTTGAAACGTTTCTTTATTTGTATATTGTTTTGTCTTTTTGGCCCTAACCACTAACGGTGACGCCCAGAAAATATGTGGTGAACAGTGGTCCTGTGGTAGGTGTTTCTAATAAAATGGCCAGCAAGTGGATGTACAAAGTCTGTGTTTCTATTAAAGTGGCCAGTAAGTGGAAGCACAAGGTAGGTGTTTCTAATAAAGTGGCCAGTAAGAGGAAGAACAAGCTAGGTGTTTCTAATAAAGTGGCCAGTGAGTGGAAGTACAAAGTACGTGTTTCTAGTAAAGTGGCCAGTAAGTAGACGTACAAGGTAGGTGTTTCCAATAAAGTGGCCAGTAAGTGGAAGCACAAGGTAGGTGTTTCTAATAAAGTGGCCAGTAAGAGGAAGAACAAGCTAGGTGTTTCTAATAAAGTGGCCAGTGAGTGGAAGTACAAAGTACGTGTTTCTAGTAAAGTGGCCAGTAAGTAGACGTACAAGGTAGGTGTTTCCAATAAAGTGGGCAGTGAGTGAAAGTAGAAGTTATGTTTCTAATAAAATGCCCAGTGAGTGGAAGCACATGGTAGGTGTTTCCAATAAAGTGGCCAGTGAGTCAAAGTACAAAAAACCCAAATGTCTAAGTAGAAATGTTCCTGCATGCAACCACCAGAGGGCACTGCTTCTGAGCATTAAAACAGAGCCACATGTTGAGTTCCCATTGTTTGTCACTGTAGTTAAGGTCATGACGTATGTTTGAAAAGGGTTGTGATAGAATTAAGGAGTTAAAATGAAGCTTCACACAGCAAAATGTTCTCACCAAGAGCCTGAGCAACAGCTGGTCCACACTGAGGTTTACACTTTGTAGCACACGGTCAAAGTCTGCTGCCTTATCAGAGCCAGTGGGCAGCCAATATTCAACATGAGGTCAGAGGCAATGAGGTGATATAAGGTGATAGGAACATATGTGGTATATTTAAGACAGATTTATTCACTTTTAATTTCCAGTGTTATGCAGGCAAAGATTTTTTTAATTACCCATTAACATAACACATTTGTACAAAGTTATTTTAAAAATATCAATAAACCGCAGCCTTTCAGGCTAACCTGGCAAAAAAAAACATTATCAAATGTCATGAGGACAAACAAACATCTTAGAAAAAGATTTACAAATGAGATGTCACTAGAAAATATCGAAGAAAAAAAAAATCGGTCGTCACACAAAATATTACCAAAAACATCTAAATTGTTTGGTATCAATCATTCATTTTGAACTTTTTTTGCCACATATTATTTTTTTCTTCTTTTTTTCTGAAACATGTTATGGTGTGAGGAAAAAAAAATAATTAATTTAAATTAAAAAGCTATGGTTATAAAAAGGACCACGAGTAGAAATAATAAATCATTACTAGAGCAGAAAGAAAAACATGCTGCACATAATCTGACTCAACAGCGTACGATACACATCAGCGATTTGCAAAGGCAAATATTGAAATAAGGATAAATAATAAATTAGCGATATACACAGTTCGTGTTAAAAGAACGGGGTAGGGAAGGGAAAGGGAGAAGAAAATAAAATTAAAAAAAAAGAAACCGACAAAATTTCCACGAATAAAAACGCCACCAGACACATCTCAGAACACCAAACTGAGCTAATGTGGGACTGAACCCCTCCGAAGCAAAAGAAGCAGAAGCAAGTGGCCCCAGTTTTACAGAAGTGCAGAGGTGTGGGGGGCATAGGATGGGGCAGAGGGCTGATTATGGAAAGTGGGTGTAAAGCTGATGGAAAAAGTCCTTTTTTTGTGGTTGGTGAGGAGGCAGGCAGGGGGAAGGGGTTAGGGGGGTGGTGCTGGCAAACTTTGGGACCACCACTACCAACGTGAGATTACAGAGTGGTGGAATTAGGAGAGAAAAAAAAAAGCGCTGATGTCAAGAAGGTTGATACTCAATCTTTGCTCCAATGGAAATTAAAACAATGCACCCAGCTGCATTGTTTATAACTGGCCACAGTGTTGGCTATCATATAAAAGAAACACATGGTCAACTGTGCGCGACTGTACACGACTCCTAGTCTGGTAAAGTCCCCTCCCCACCCACTGAAACCACTCATTCATTTGAGAATGGTACTGCAGTCTGTGTTAAGGCATTGTAGTACAGTTCATATGACTTAGAGACACCAAAGAGCTTTTTTTCTGGCTGTTTTTCATTTCTCAAAGAAATCTTTTCTGCCCCTTTTCTAATGTAAACATGGTTTCGCAAGGATTGTCATTATAGTATTGCTTTCATTTAACATAGCAAGTCGTAGAAAGCTAGATTGTTTTTCCCCCCATCCTTTTTTCTCCTTATTTTCAACATCAACCTCTTCTACACAGGAATGCATCGTTTTATACATCTTTAAATTTCATATGTGCTTTTTAAGTGACCCTTTCAGTGTGTCTGTCTTTATCGTCTCTGGTTCCTTTATTCATAGGTCGATTTGACAGCTTAATACCTGCATAAATGTATAACATCTAAGAACGTGACACTGAACAGTCCTGGGAGGATATTTCACAAAGCAGGATTTCTCAGTTAGCTAGACAACAGACTGAAACAGCTAATAAGTTAGCTTCACAGTTAGCTAGACAAGTGAATATAACGGTAGCCAGTTAGCATCCATTACCTAGATAACTGAATAAAACAGTAGCCAATCTGTTAGCTTCTCACTTAGCTAGATAACTGAAAAAAGAAGTAGTCAGTTAGTTAGCTTCTCAGTTAGCTGGATAACCAAATAAAGCAGTAGCCAATCAGTTAGCTTCTCAGTTAGCTAGATAACTGAAAAAAGAAGTAGCCAGTTAGTTAGCTTCTCAGTTAGCTAGATAACCGTATGAAGCAGTAGCCAATCAGTTAGCTTCTCAGTTAGCGAGATAACTGGATGAAGCAGCAGCCAATCAGTTAGCTTCTCAGTTAGCTAGATAACCGTATGAAGCAGTAGCCAATCAGTTAGCTTCTCAGTTAGCGAGATAACTGGATGAAGCAGCAGCCAATCAGTTAGTTTCTCAGTTAGCTAGATAACTGGATGAAGCAGTAGCCAATCAGTTAGCTTCTCAGTTAGCGAGATAACTGGATGAAGCAGTAGCCAATCAGTTAGCTTCTCAGTTAGCGAGATAACCGAATGAAGCAGTAGCCAATCAGTTAGCTTCTCAGTTAGCTGGATAACCAAATAAAGCAGTAACTTATCAGTTAGCTTCTCAGTTAGCTAGATAACCGAATGAAGCAGTAGCCAATCAGTTAGCTTCTCAGTTAGCTGGATAAATGGATAAAGCAACAGTCAATACGACTGCTGGATAAGTTAAGCAGCAGTTAATCAGTTAGCTAGACAATCAGAAAGATTTATTATAAATAGAATTATTCTAAGTGTGTTTTGAGTCAGTTTTCTGTTCATTTCTAAGTCCAGATAAATTACTGTCTGTGATAACTGACCATATGCTACAGATGCAGCAGATGGAGATGAGGTTGAAAAACACCGAAGCGCAAAGTCAAGCCTGTCCATTAGCCGGAGAGCTAAGTGACATTTGTACTGGACAATCCTCACTTTTGACTTAAGTTAACTAGCTTTACTCAGAAATCCTGCTCTGTGAAATATGTCCTGTCCTCTCCTCATGTGATGACAGTTAGATCGAGTCAGCATAGAACAGGAAGGATCCTACAGTAAGTTTAGGTGTCGAGCGACTCAGTTTCACAAAAACAGTCTGCGTAGGCTCTTTGCTCGACTGTATTCAAAGCCGCAACTCACCACTGACCTCAGTTATAGGACACAAGGCTCATCTACCTTACATTTACCTCCTCCCCAATCCTAGTAAGCTGAATAGGTTGTATAATCGACCAATAATCAATTTGACAAAAAGATATACAGTTTTGTGCATAGAAACAGATTCTCTTTATAGTGGATTTTTCGTACTGGGAGCAAACAGATCCCTCCTTGTGCTACTGTAAATAGGACATACTCCATCTCATTATTACCAGTAATCACTGTATGTCTCTTAAAACCAATGGTAACTCTCCATACTCTTTAGATTATTATTTTGTATTATAATATTCCATAGTTTTACATTTTCATATGAAAAATCAGGTGCACTCAAACAGCTGTCCATTTTCATTAGAAAAAAAAGAACAAACGAAAGAAACGTACAACTAAAAACTAACATAAAACATGGTGCTTTCAGCGGAGGAGCCGTAGGCCGAGCTACTCGAACTCTTCCTCTAGATTGTTAGATGTTGTGGGCGTGGCCGGGTTGGAATCCTGGGACAGCGGGGCCACCGTGACGATTCTGGGCGAGCCCAGGCCTTCCTCCACCTCATCCTCCATGTCCTCGGTGGTGAGAATGGCCAGTGCTGTGCCTCCTTTTTTGTTCTGGTGGGTTTTGACGTGCTTTGACAGGTGGTCGCTCCTCATGAATCTTTTGGAACATTCTGGACACTCGAACCTCTTTTCACCTGATGAGGACCAAAGGAAATTTTAGTATTCAAACACTTAATATATAACTATAACTTAATACATAACTACCACTTCTTAATGTACAATTCTAGTTATGATTTATTACCAATTTGTACCATTCAGAAAACATGGTATCACTTGTCTTATTCATACTTTGTTACTTTATTCAATAACTTGCATACAGCCGATTGGGATACTATTAATTAGAAGCCGGTATCTTGGATGAGGATTAAGTCTAGTCTTAGACTAAACTGCAATGCCAATGGTGGCTGAGTCACCACTGAGATATAGCCTTAGGCTTAATCTGAGTCTGACAGGCCAGTCACAATTATTTCATAACTGCTTGATTGCAATTATTTAAGATAATCGCAATTATTTAAGCAGACAGTCACTTTCTGTGTTGTATCACACACCGAATATGATATGGATGTGTTTTCATCAGTTCACCTGAGACAAAATAAAAGAAAGCAGGAAACACATTCACCAAAACAAATTCTTTGCCGTAGAGCAGGGATGTCATGTGATCTCCTGCTTTGCTGGAATGAAAACCTGCAGCCACACCGGCCCTTTGCAGGTAAGATTGGACACCCCTGCCTGAACCCCTGAGAAACAACACAAGTTCTTAACCTGAAGGACATTCCACATAGCAAGATTTCTTAGTTTAGCCGGATAACTTAAGCTCAAAGTCAGGCCTGTGCAATAGCAAAAGACCTGAGGGACATTCCCATTGGACAGTGCTCATCTTTGGGCTTAAGTTATCTGGCTAAGTAAGAAATCCTGCTTTGTGGAATACCCCCCAGGTGCTATAGCACATGTTTACAACACGTTTACAACACGTTTAGGGAAAACCTTTGTTTGTTAGCTAGATAGCTAATGCTAATTTTTGTATATATGATATTGGATGGAGCTTCATCACTCCAGAGTACAGTTCCATTGCACCACAGCACAAAGCTTTATATGGGGGGGGGGAGCTTTTTCCACCTCTAGCCGATGTTTGGCACTAGCCATGTTGACCTTAGGCTCATGCGCAGCTGCTCCAGAGTGTCCCATTCTATGGGCCCTTTTCACAAAGAGTCTAGATTACTTCCGGTTTAAGTGTTAGCAGGGTAAAACTCACTTCCGCTCCATATAACTACTGCAGAAGCGATGACAAAATGTTACAGTAGTGTACCATAATGCTCAAACACTGAGCTACAACAGACATATTTTAGTTCTCCTGCACTGTTGTGACAAACAGCGAGAATAAGAAGTGGATGGAAGCACCGATTTAACTTTAAACAGAGCTAAAATGCTGTATGTGTGGGACAGCCTTGTTTTTACTGCAGTCTGCTGCAGCTGCCTCACATCAAGCATCAAGTGAAAGGCGGATGTTATCCAAAGCACTGCTTCAAAAATTGCCATTAAAAACTAAAAGAATGATGCTGTTTGGCAGATCCATAACATAGCTAGCCAATTAGCTTCAAAGTTTGCTACTCATATGTAGCTGGTATCCCTTAAACTGCTAATAGCAGGCTAGCTAATTAGCACCTGTAGCCTGCTAGCCTACCTTAAGCTTAAATGAGGTCTCTCAAATAGACTTTACATATACAATTTTGGTTTGCGTTTTGTTTGTTACAGAAGTCGCTGGCGTGCTGTAAATGTGTCACAGAACCTGCTCCACGTTAGCCAGCTGGTGCCAACAGCTAACGAAAGCTAGCTGCCTTGTTTAGGAACACAGCTACAGTTAGCAGTGGCTTCTAGTGTAGCTGGCTATATCTAAACAACATCTACCAAATGCATACTACATATAAAAGTTCTTCTTTCCTTTGAATATAGAAATATTACAGAAATCGCTGGCATGTTGTACAAAGACAGAGAGACTGCTTGATGTGAGGCAGCAGCAGTAAACAGGGCTACACCACACATGCAGCATTTTAGCTCTGTTTAAAGTTAAATCGGTGCTTCCATCCTCTTTTATTCTCACTGTTTGACAGGACAGTGCAGGAAAACTGAAATATAGCTGTTGTAGCTCAGTGTTTGAGCATTATGGTACACTACTGTAACATTTTGTCCGCTTCTGCAGTGCTTATATGGAGCGGAAGTGAGTTTTACCCTGCTAATGGAAGTTATCATAGCTCTTTGTGAAAAGGGTCCATTGGCAATGCTTTGTCTGGAGATTATACAAACTGTGTGTGTGCAACTGAACACCTCTGTCAGCAATAGGTACAGCTTAAAGTAGCTGAATTCATTAATCAGAAGAGGTATCTGGATACACTTGGAAATAATACAGGGCTAAAATGTGCCGCCAATGATCATTTACGAATGACCAATGTGTTATAAAAACCTATCTGCTCTTAACGTCACAGTAAATCTGCTGGTGCATTTTATAAATCTGGCCCACCGTGTATTAATGGTAATTTCTTGTCACGCTCTCGTCACCTCTGGATTATAATTTTATTATAACATTATTCTTGATGTTCTGCAGCTTTCTCTACAGCTCCCCTCATCATGCTGGACACATGAAATAACCTATTAAGTTACTGACCACAGCCATTTTATATGTGTACCTACATGTACACTGGTTTATATAATTGAAAACAGTGATTCCAAACTTTTGAATGGTAGTGAATATCAGATCCACGCTGAATGAGCCCGTGTGTATTTACCTGTATGCGTCCTGCGGTGCCGCTGTAACTCGTCGCTCCTGGTGAAGCGTTTGCCGCAGAAGATCCAGTTGCAGACGAAGGGTCTCTCTCCCGTGTGCCAGCGCAAATGCGCCCTCAGGTGAGACGTCTTGCCGTACACTTTACCACAGCCTGCCATGTGACACACGTGCTGCTTCTTTTTCGATGGATCACTGTTTCTGTTGGAACAGACCAGGGAACAGGTAATTGGGAGGCCTGTTACAGTCATGAAATTTTAATGATATTCTATGATTAATTGACATATAAATATAGTGTTTTCCTCAGATGTGAAACACACCTGGGGAGCGCACAGCAGGGGGCGGAAGGCGGTTATTTGAATAATATGGGTATCCAAACTTTTGGATATTTGGCTACTGAAATAAGTTTTTCATTCCATTTTTAGCACCTCATGGACTTGGCTAAAAGTGAAAGGTCATGGAAATAACCACAGGGAAAAGAAATGATGCTTTACATCAATGAGTGTGTTTACATGAACTTAATAATCCGAAGCTCCAAAAGTGTTTTGCTGCGTCTTGCGGCGTCACTGCTTGCTTATTTCCTGCACCACCGTCTGTTACGCACATGTGCAGACTGAGAAATCCGAAAGAAATCAGAGTAAGAGTTCACATGCACTGAGAAGTCTGATTCCTGAGCTAAAATCCAGCTCTCTTTATCAGATTCCTAATAGGATTTCTAGACTTCACTCAGATCTAAGAAATCAGAAGTTAAAAAAAATGTTAAAAATGTTCAAAATTCCAAGTTGGGATATTTTCTGTGCAGGAACATTATGACCTGTTCATTACATCAGATGAAATGCACTGAGTCACATACAGTGTAGAGCCTCTAATAGTATTTGAGCTGTTATTGCAGGAGGACTGGCAGATCATCTCTTCAGCAACACACTGACTGTTGAGCCAGTTTGCAGCAGCTACTAAGTAGAAGCAAATGTCAGTTTCAGAGCACTTCCTCGTACCAGTTACAGTCGTGTGCAATGGTTTGAGCGCTCAGGTCAAATGTATTGTTGATTTTCTAAGTGAAATAATACATACTCTGGAGCAGGGGTGCCGAACTCATCACAGTTTGGTGATTTCCCTAATTAAAACACACCTGATTAAACTCATCAGTTAATTGCAGGCCGTATTTGACATTTTAATAGCAGGAAAATCACCAAACTCTGCTGGACTCGGCTCTTCAGGGCTGCAGTTTGCCACCCCTGATCTAGTGAAAACAAACTTCTACATATTTTAATATGCAATTACTGCACATTTGCTGAAATAAACGTATTGGAAAAAAAAAAAAAAGTGCAAAAGTTATGGTACGTTTCATGTTTGTTTTTTTCCGATTTATTATGTTAAACTCAACAAATGCACATAAATTGGGCACTAAAATTAGCAAAAAATGCAAAATATTTAGGTTTTCAAAAAAATCAACAAAACATGTCATTTGACCGGGTGTTGGCTACAGTAAAGCCTCGGCTTTCAAGAGAAGCGCTGTTGAGCAACTCAAGTGCTAGTAACAAAGTAAATCACTGTAAAACTGCGCCTGTGATTGTCCATGTTTGAGCATGCAAACAGGTTCGGGTCGGGTTTCAAAACTACAAGCACTCAGGACTGGATACATGAGGGCAGGCTGTTTGAATAAGAGAGTTAATGTGAAATGAAAGAGTGAACATGAGCTTTCCATCTATATTAGATGAACCATGACGCTTTTAATCCGTAGCCTGATCATTTACACACAGCACAGCTTGTAAAAACAAGCAGCAAAAAGTGCTGTTATATGGAAAGAATTGTGTGTTTTCACACTTATCTACAGATTTAATCTCTCTTTGCACTCTTTCACTCCTGGTAGAAGCTGCCCTTTTCCGTTAATCGTGCCTTCACCACTCAAACTATAAATCTTAATCATTATGAAACCCACCATAAAACTGGTTTCAAATCAGCATATGAAAAAGGGCAAGCTTCACCCAGCAGCACTCCGTTCTCTCGGCGATCCATCTACAGACCTGGGGGGCATGATTTGGCTTTAGACTGCCCACTAATGTCTTGTGTTAGCATAGCACTGGTTGCTATAGCATCAAGGCTCTCCAGTATTATCACAAAGGGCCAGTGGCTGTAGATTTTCATTCAAATCGAGCAGAAGCACACCTGAATCCAGCTGACTAGTCAGTTGGCTTAAGTTTTCAGATGTTTAGTTTTCCCTGATATCTGATAATTTATTTATTTAATACTCTACAAATAAATCACTGCTGTCGGAACAAAACCTCGTATCTCCATTTTTGTCATTTTTCAGTTTTTGACATAATTTGAAAATGTCTTTTGTCCCTTACATCGTGTCAAAATTTAATGATGAATGGACCAAATGGACCAAAATTGCTTCGAAAAAAGTCTGGTTCCATTGACTTACATTCAAAGTAAAATATGTTTTTTAACTTCTGTAAAGTTACCATTTTGGAGATACAAGGTTTTGTTCTGACAACAGCAAAATGCTACATTTCTCTGTAAAGGCGGTTTCTCAATACATGTTCTTGTATTCTTGCTCTTGCTCGATGTCATTATCCAATGCCCAAGTTCCATTCCAATGTTCAAGAACACAAGTACCAAGAATGGTTAAAGTACCTGGATGTGTTCTTGATCTACCCTGAATACCGAGGATGCATCAGTTCATGATTTGCAGAAGTCACTGTCCCATAGCACACACACCTTCTTCCCGGTAACTTTGTAGCTAACGTTATTTTTGCGGCACATACACTCAACATACAGGCAATATAACATTAATTTGCCCATTTAAATGCCTGGTGAACAAGCAAGCTTGCTTGCAAATTCCGTAACGTTAGGCAAACATTATTAATGTTAAATATTTTCACAAGGTGGTCAGGTCTGCTCTGTTAATGCAATTCATGATTTTCAACTTTCCACATCCACCCCAGCCCATCTACCTTTGCAAAGGAGTTAAAACACCGTCATCAGAGCCAGATGGAGCGAGGAGGGGGAAGGGGGATAAAAACATTTTCACGTTGCTATAGATTTACAGTCTCTTGAAATGAATGACATTACGTATTTGTCATCCCAGGGGAATGAACCCAGCGTCATGATTAGTCAAACTCTTCTTCTTTTGTCTTTCGAAAGGTTAGACGCTGCTGCCTCTTGCACAACTGAACACACAGGTGTCACCAGCCTTTTGCGTAGTTTAGAGTGACAAATCAGTGTTTTTTTTCCCCCCAAAATTTCTCTCCGATGTAATCATATCCAATTCCACCCGCTAGTTAGGACTCCCCCAGTCACACGATACCATCAGCACTAGGAGGGCGAAGGCTAGCACAGGCTTCCTCCAAGACCTGTGAAGCCAGCCACCTCATCTTTTCGAGCTGCCTCTCATGCAATGTCATTGGACAGAGGACGAGTATTAGGAGGAGTATTTTGATGTCAAAATGCGTACCTGCTATGTTAATACATAAAGGTTGGCAGGTCTGGTTTAATGTGTCACTACATATACATGTATCGGCATCAGCAGGTATGCGCATGTAACACATCAGATACTGGCCCACAGGTCTCAGACTGGTACCCGTGTGTGATATTTGCCTGTTTAAAAACTAGAAAAAAAGCCCTTCTGATAATGTATCTTAAAAGGTCCTAGACCTTTTGAAAAGCCACATGTACTTTGGAAGCAGATACAATAAAGGAGGGACAGTTTTTTTTAACCACTTCAAAAGAAGACCAGATAACGTTAGCGCTACAAAGCCGGATATCAAGTCTCTATAGGTTTTAGGCTCCGCATTAGAACTTTTCTTTATCACTGTGAAGATTCCTACTGTCTACTGATGTAGTTGCATAGTGGGTATTGTAGTGAGAGAACACTGAAGGATGTAAAAACAAAAGGATATAAAACCATGAATTCTGTCAGACCAGAAAGGCTGAGAGGCGCAATGCTGTGATATGGAATATTACATAAGATGACAAATAACATATTAAATGCCAGTTTTATGCTGGAATGCCCCTGTATGTTAGCTACCTTGAATCAGCTAGCAAAAGAACTCTAACCCAGTGATCCACATAATAATCTCTTTTACAGACAAGATTTCATAACTCATCTGCCAAGCAAAATTAAACAATGTTGTCTTCACTAGCCTATATTACTTTTACATAACATTGCATTTTGACTGATTTTAGTGATCTGCCACGGGTATTTGGCAAACATTTTTCAGATATTTTCTAACTATGCCCCAAGCAGTTTTCTGACTCTACAGTCATATGCATAAGTTCTGTTGATTTTGATGAACATATTTTAAGTGAAAATGAGTTAACACATCCTCTTCAGAGAACACACTTATTTGGTGAATTTCACATAAGAAGTGGCAGAACAAACTGTGGCCTGTGCAGAAGTTTAGCACATTTAATATTTTATGTTTTATTTATTTTTAGTATGTTAAACTTAGCATATATGTACAAATTGAGCAAATTTTTTTCTGCAAATATAAGCGTGTTCTCACCAAGACAATTCACTGTAGAGAATGTTTTAATTTATTTTCATTTACTAAATGAACAAAACATACCACCTGACCATGGGCGTTCAAACTTTTGCACACAACTGTACTAACTTGGCTCTACCAGGTACCATTCAGAAAGTGCCATGCCTTTTTCGAGGGGTTCTTTAACTGCTTTTTTTTTTAAATATCCACTTATTGTTGGTTTGCTTAAAATGTTAGTGTTTAAATAAGGTGATAAAAAATAAATTAATGTTCTTAATTTGAATCTACAGGGAATCTATAGACATTACAAGCATGTCAGGTGGACAACAAAATGCCCATATGCATGTACAGTCACATGCAGAAGTTTGAACACCCCTGTTCAAATTATGTTTTGTTGATTTTTAAGGCTTAGTTACATTACACTGCTCAATTCCAATTCTTTGTTCAGACCCAATCTTTCTAACTTAATGGTTCACAATCATCAATATAGTCATGTGAATGAATTGTGTGCATCATGAACAACAAAACAGCCAGTAGAACGAGCGTCATCACCAAGATAATTCACTCTGATCAGCTCTCCATTATTAGAGCGAGACAAAGGTGAAAAAGGGTCAGATGCATTTACTGTATTAACTTCAGGTTCGGCGCTGCTGCTTTATTAATACTTAACAATGACACATGCGCAGTGAAAAAAAAACACACTAGTTCCAATCTGACCGTTCTCATTGAAGTAGCATGGCCACAAATCTGGTATGTTTCCGATCTAGGACCACATATGAATGTGGATCAGATCTGATTTGAAAAGGTCAGATGCGCATATCCACACAGCTCTGAAAAAGTCAGATCTGTGTCAGATTAAGGCAAAAATTTGTAATTGTGTCTCTTTGGGCTGGTAATGTAACGTAGCCTAGGTGAAAATAAGTTAACACATCCTCTACAGAGAACAAACTTAAATGTGGCATTTTTGTGCACAATTTCAATTTATTGATTTATCTTTATATGTACAAAACAAAACAGATATAAAATATGCCGTAACGTCTGACCAGGCCACATTTTGTGTTCATTTTTTTTCCCTAATATGTTAAATTCAGCCAATAAACAGTAACTGTCCATTAAAATGTGCAGATGTATGTTCTCTGTAGTGGACATACTTAGTTTCACTTGAAATTTGACCAGGGGCACCAAAACGTTTGCATACGACTATACTTGTGGACCACTGCCCTGACCCTAAATGCTTATGGGCATAAACCTAAAATCACGGCACGTGATCTAGAATTGCCGCTTGCTCTCTGAATGTTGGTTCTCTGGACGCACCTGCCCTCTCCGTCCCTGCAGTTGGGACACGAACAGGCCACCCTGCGGAGTCTCTTGCTTGGCTGACCCTCCTGCTCCGAGGGGCTCTGGGCTTGGCCCATCTGCTCTGGGCTCACTGCATTCAGCGTCGCGTTGGCTATGTTCCCGACGGTGACCGTCACTGGGGCAGGCTGAACCTTGACTCCTGCCTGACCCTGTTGCTGACCTGCAGAGAGAAAAGGAGACCGTTTCAGACATGTCACGACTTGTGCTGATGTCTTTTTTTCTTCAAGTTTTGACAAGAGGGCTCACAAATCATGAGTGAACAACAGGCCAAACTGTGACAAACTGCCACAGAAATGAGAACTTGTCTGACATTTTGGGCGGCAAAATAAAAGGAAGTGACTTTAGTTTAAAAATAGCACCGCCAAGTAATCAAGAATGAAGTGCTAATAATGGGTAATAAACGTACGACAGCCTGTCTGTGGTGAACCGCGTTTACTCCCCTTACGGCTACAAATCTAGTTTGAACCTGAAACGTCTTTTGTGGTTGTGCTAAAGCTTACTTTTTTCAGAGCAAGAGCAAGTGCACTCACAACAGAGCGAGGAGAAATAGTCAGCAAACTGACATCTGCAACTGCTTACGGCAGTACTGGGAGCGCTGTCAAACTCGAGCTCACACTTAAATAATGCTTCAGCTTGGCTTTTTACTCGAGGAGTGCAATTCAGAGCTAAAATGAGTCTGTGAAATGCACTTTTCATGCACTGTAAACTGTAGTGTACGCCAAAGACTTTTTTTTTTTTGCTTTGTTTTTTTGACATTCTCAGAGCCTCTCCACAGTAAACAAGGTGCTATCTACAGTACTGCTGCACCAATCCATGTGACTGAAAATATAAAGGACTATTTGCAATAAAATAAAGCATTTCTTATACAAAAAATCGGGTCAACTTTTGATAACACCACTGCTCAAAAACCTAATTAATTACTCTAGTAATACAGACCAAACTGCCTACTGATCAAGATTTTATTTCAATGAGCAGCATTAACCTAAAGCAACATGTTATGTCAGCTGAACCCCTTCAATCTAAATTATTTGCCTTAAAAACACCCTGAAATTTTATGGAGGCTGACATTAAAATTAAACAGCCAAGTTTCCAAAGATCTTTTCTGGCATCATAATGTTGCTAAAACGCTGTTTAATACAACATATCACAGACTTAAGACTAATCAAACGTTTCTGCCATGAAGAATAATTTAGCTAGCAAGCTGTTGACTGTAATCTATTTTAAACTGTCTGTCACACAATTTGATCCAATCAGCAGTTATTTTGTGGATCATTACTGATTAGAAATGTTAAATGGACACACTGACCAAAATAAATCATTTAACCATCACTACATCTGTTGTAAACACGCCAACTCGCTTTTTACGAGTCGCGCCACAAGAACTTCTAGAGCAAGATTTTCCAGTTCAAAGATGAGAAAAACCCCCTTCTAATGATGCACCTGGAAGGTGAGCTTTGAAGAAGATATATGGAGGTGGACAGTAGGGGTGGACTATATGACGATATTTCATTGTTATCTTATTAAATTACAATAAATCACAATATGCTTTTCTCTTCGCATGGTTGATATCGTCAGTACTTAAAGAGGACTGACCAACAGCATGTTTCTTAAAAAAAGAGCATAATTACTCCTTTTACTGAATTTATTACAGCGCTATGGAACTCCATCTCCACCAAGTTTAAGAGGAAAAAAAAAAAATCACTTGTCCCCTCCTCCTTCTTTCTGTTTCTTTCAGCAGTTTGTCAAAATATTGACTCAACATTTCAAAATAATAAACTTTCTTGAAATACAAATTTCTCAAAATAGTACCCGTTATTGACTAATATTGACTTAATATTCTAAAAATTACTTAAAAAGTTCTTAGAAAATCTGACTTAATATTTTGAAATAATTATTTAGTATCTCAAAATAATGACTAATTTTCTGATGATCTTGAGGTAAAATAACGAGTAACCAAGAAAAAAGTCATTCTTTCAGGATAACTCATTAACATACTAAGTCAATGTTTTGAGATGCTGTCTTTTTAAACATGATTACTTATTTATTATGATGTTATTTTGAGATAAATAAATAATGTATTATTTTGAGATAATATTTTGAGATAAGTCATTATTCTGAGACATTAGATTTTGATAAACTGCTGCCAAGAAAAATAGGACAGAAAACACTGAGTGATTTTGTTTTCTCTTATCTGGCATGAGTGGGCTTCCATAGAGTGCAACTTATTTTTGATTTTGGAAAAAAACACTTAAAAAACATTATATATATATATATATATATAAAATGTTTTTTAAGTGTTTTTTTCCAAAATCAAAAATAATATATATATGTATATATATAGCACCCCTAATAAACATTAGTCTGCTATCTGGGTAATGCACAAGTAAGACAGACAGCACCTCTGCTTAATATCCTCTTTATCAAAGATCAGAGATCGGTGAATTTCTATGTCATTATGGGGGAATTCCCAATGGGTGTATGATGTATTTGTGTATTGCATGCTGGGTAATGTTGTGAGAGGATGTAGATGGACGAAAATACAAAGACAAATACAAAACTGTGAATTTTGTCAAACTAAAGAAGCTGACAGCTTCAATGTTCCTCTACAGAATATTACATAACATGACAAAGGCTAGTAAAATATTACATAACATTATAAAGGCTAGTTTAAGCCTCTTAAACTTCTTACATCTTTTCAACTTCACCGGTCACAATAATCTTTTTATATATCTAATATATTTAAGATATATTTTAATATGTTTGTATTTTAAATATTTTCTCGTGTACCAAAATATTTTTTCAAACCTGCTGCAATGCCACCCTGAACCCACCTGGTTGGGAAACCCTGGCCAACTTGGTGAGAGGTACAACTAAAATATATTTCAATAATCAGTTAACCAACTGATCAGTAGTGTATTAATTGACTAATTTATTGTGCCTCCATTTGCCAGTGGCGTCACTCCATCTGTGAAACAAGTGATTTCTTCTTTGTACTGCAACAACAGAAGCCATATCACCCTTCAAACGTGTACTGCAATCAACTGGAATGAGCACATGCATCATATGAACATTAATAATCAACAGTGCTGACTAATGGTTGCGCTTAAACAGCCATATGCAAAAGTTTGGGCCCCCGGTAACTTATGTTTTGTTGATTTTCTAAGAGAAAAGAGGAAGTAGACGAAGTGTTGACTTTTTTTTCTTAGAAAATTAACAAAACATCTAAGTGGACTGGGGGTGTCCAAACTTTTGCATATGACTGTGCAGCTATACACAAGTTGGTTCATTGGTTCTCATTCGGTGAGACAAGGTCCTCTGCAGCCATAGCAAGGAGTGATAATTCAAATTTCAAGTCTAAGAAAAAAAAGTACAACAGCGTCTTACTTTGCACCCCTGTGATGGTGAGAGGCACTCCCTGGACCTGCACTCCCTGGACCCCAGCGGTGCCCAGGCTTGCTAAATTCACTGTCTGCACTCCCGTCCCGGAGGTCAGCTGGGCGGCGTTCAGGGTGATGGGAGTCCCTCCGATGGCCAGTGGGGCGATCTGTGTGATCCCGCCGGTGTTGGAGGTCACAGGTGCGAGCGTGAGCTGCTGGGGCATGCCGGCATTCTGCACCTGCACCGTCTGCCAGCTGATCTGGCCCGTGGGCGTGAGCGTAGGCGCCCGGATCAGCACCTGTGCTGGATTCTGAAAGGCCTGCAGCTGGATGTTCTGCTGGACTGGCTGCAGGGTCTGACCAGGCTGCAGCTGAATGGAGCCCTGGACCAGCTGCTGCTGCTGTTGTTGTTGCTGCTGCTGCGGCTGCTGGATCTGGATGTGCTGCAACACCGGGGGGCCAACGATCTGAAACTGCTGCACCTGAGCCGGCTGCTCTTGCACCTGCTGAAGCCCGTTGGACTGGGCCGTGCCCTGGCCGTCTGCACTCTGGCCGTCTTTCTGACACTCAACGCCTGATTCCGATGCCGCGATTGCCGTGCCGTCAGCGGTTGTCGTGGCAACGGAATCTGCACAACCAGCCGTGGTGGTGCTAGTGGCCACGACTGAAGTCTCAGCTCCACCGACTGTGCTTGTGACAGGGGCGGCTATCAACTGGTTGCCATTTGCGTCGCTGGTCTGGACCAGCTGGACAGATCCCCCGCCCGCAGCCACATTGTTGATGACGGGCAAAGCCAGGGTCACACCGCCGATGTTTATGGGTAACGTAGTCACCACAGGGGCTTGCGCGCCCTGGATGGTCTGCACCTGGAGCGGAAAGGACGGGCGGATCTGCAGCGGGATGGCCTGACCGGTCACGTTCTGGGCCACGATGCTAGCGGAGGCTGCCCTCGGAGGGGAGGTCAGGATGGCTTGGTTGTTCCCAGCAGGAATGAGCTGAATCTGCTCGGGCTGGACGCTTAAGGCCGTGGGGTTGCTGGGGTTTATCTGGATCTGCTGACCATCAGCGGTCTGGATGTGTGGGATCACCTGATACTGGATCCCTCCTGTCGAATTGGGCATGTTCTGCACCTGGATGATCTGAAACTGTTGCTGCTGCTGTCCCACGGATGCATTGTTGGCGGCAACCGATTTTATCTTCCGGCCCGGTGTGCCGTCCACAGCAACGACGTTAGCGGCGGTCGCCACGGCGGCCACGCTGGTGGCCTGCACGCCGTCCTTGGCCACTGCGGTGGTGGCGGCGGCAGCAGGTGCGGGCGAGGCCGCGATGATCTGCCAGCCGTTCCCTGTGAACTGAGCGGGCAGAAGCTCCAGCTGCTGAGGAGGGTTCTGGAGCTGCACCAAACCCTGGCTGGGGTCTATGATGATCTGCTGCTGGGCGCCGGCCTGGCCTTCCCCTCCCACGCCTCCTATTTTACTGCATGTGGCTGCAAGAAGGGCGAGAGGCGACGGCTGCGCGTCCTGTTCACGTAGCACAGACACACACAAACAGAAGAGAGAAAGGGGGGGAAGAAAGTGCTGTCAGTGTCAGCAGATGTGGGCGGGATTACAGGAAGAGTGGGTGGGTGTGCTCGAACCACAATTTCTCCATTTCCCGATGAGGGGTTATGAGAAACACTCAATTTATTTCTAAAAGTGGGTCACAGCAATAGTGAACCAACACATAAAAAAGTATGGTTATGTTCAGGAACATGATGTAACCACAGCCCTGCCAAAATGTTTTTACATAAGTTATTGTGTCTCCAAGCAGCAAAGGACTGTAAATTCATACTTTTATAGCCTGAATTAAAATGACAGGGCTTGAGACAAACACATAACCATGCAGAGAGGTGGTTTTATAGCTAGTGTTATGTTATGAAGGGAGCTAAAGCTGAAGCTGGTTAAAGCAGCTAATGCTAGCCTGCAATCAGGAAGTGACTGCAGTAGGGGAGGAAACAAGTTGCAAGGCTTTACAGTCATGCAACGTGCAATCATACCTGGGATCCTGGCGTTTTCCCTTTAGTGGTCCTTTCACCTCCACCCGATTTCCCCCCGTCCGTGGCCATGGCTTCTTTCTTTTGGTCTGCAAAAAGGAAATCATCTCGGTCAGAAGGGCAGCAAAAGGTGCTCAAGGAGACTAGACGACTCCAACTCAAAGCAGGGCAAACAGAGAAATAACGACGAAGGCTGAAGTTATTCGAATTTTTCCGTTCCACCTTAAATGGTGCAGCAGTTACATTGTGGCGCCTGAGGCGCCACAATGTAACTGCTGCACCATTTAAGGTGGAACGGGAAATTCGAACAAGAAGCCAACTTCAGCTGGTGAAACAAGGTTTAGCAGCATAACGTTAGGCAGTCCTAAAGGGGAGGGCTGGTCCGTCCTAGGCATTGCAGCGCTCAAGCAATAAAATGACAGCAATTCTTACAAAGCCATTCTCGATTTTACAAAAAAAATCTACAAAAAAAAAACAAAAAACACGGGGAGGGTGAGTGGCCGTCGGTGCGTGTGGAGAGAGGAGAGGGGTGGAGACGACAGGGGGAGGGAGGGTACGTACCACTCATCCCGCATTAATAAAACCGGAGAGGAGTTGTTAAAAGAGTGAAAAAAAAGAAGGCCGGACGCCGTGGAGGCAGAGGCAGAGGCAGAAGCCCGGAGAAGGACGGCCTATTTTTTTTTCCTCCCCACGAATGGCTGCTGGGTGGTGTGGCGTAGCTCCACCGACCGACCGCGCCGAGCGCTGAACGGCGCGCAGTGACGAGCAGACCCAGCCCCGCCAGGAAGGAAGGGCGGTACCGAGAGAGAGAGAGAGAGCGAGGGAGAAACGGCAGCCCGTGGACAAAACAAAACAGAAACCGGGGGTGAAAATTCAAGCGTGTTATACCTTCAAACCCGGCCTGGGACTTTTTGTTTTTTTTTTTTGTTTTGTTTTTTTTTGCGCTTTTTTTTTCTTTCCGGCTCTCCGACGAAACGCGTCCAAATCCAAGTTAACACTCCTGCCTTTCGCCTTAAGGCCCACCCACTTCTATTTAAATATCAAGTGAACGCCAAAATACGCCCCGCTCTTCTTTCTCTTTTTTGTGCGCGCGCGCGTGTTTCCGCCGTGCTGTCCTCACTGTTTGTCCTCGCGCCGAGTTATTCCCGCGTTTTACGCGCTGCGTTCACTTTTCGTTATCACACTTTTTCATGCACAATTGCATTAACGCTACAGTTGAAAAAAAAGAGAGGCTCTTTGTGGGCGGACGCTCTCCGCCCACATATTCAGATTCGTTCGAGGCCGAAAGGCAGCATGGGAGTTGTAGTTCGGCTTGCCTTCGCTCGTATATCGTTCAGCTTGAGCGCGGACTCCAACTCCCAGAAGGCATAGCGCTCGCGCGGGTTAAAAAAACCGAGGGGGTGTTATCATGTTCGGTTGAAGGGGATGAAGAAGGGCGGTTACTTGTGCTATGTGGGGGTTGGGCGAATGGAAACGGGTGGGGAGAAAAGCTGACCTGTTCACCCATGGAACAGCCACATTCTTACTGCTCGAGCTGCTGCGGTGGCGCGAGCCTGCTAATAGTGCACAATAGTGCACTAATCGCCTCGTTCACTAAATGAAATCGACTGCTTCACTAATATCGGTCTCTCAACCCCAGTCTGTTGCCATGACTAGTGAGGCCTGTGTAATGTAGGACATTTAGGTGTTACAGGTGTGCACTAAGTAGTTGCGTGCTGACCGCTTAAAGGGGAATTCCACCATTTTCCAGAAATTCTACATGATTACTTATTAAGATGTAAAGTCATTCACAGTGTTTTGATGTGAAAGTGCTGCTTTATAGTGAAAACTGTCGACTTCTTTTCTATGATGGTGAGGAGAAACAGGGGACACAGTGTGGACAGTGCAAATATAGCTGTTTTATATTCTTACCAAAACAACTAGTGAACCTACACATCGTATGTGAGGTTGAGAAAGATGAAGTAGTGGTAAATGTGAACAAATATCTTTCAGTGCTATTTTTTTCTCCCTACAGCACCCTGCATATGCCTCTCTGCCATGAATATAGATATATGTTTAAAACATATGTTTTAAGCCGAAAGCTTACCTCAAAACTAGTGGAAAACTAAGTCTCAGGCATCAGGGAACATAATTATAACCACTTAGTGTCATAATGTTCTGTGAGGTAGATTAAAAATGCAGTAAGGTTTAACCACCTGTAAGGGAATTTGCATGTGACCCAAGGGCACTACCATGACAACACCTACTGCTGATATATATATATATATATATATATATATATATATATATATATATATATATATACAAAACCTCATACCTCTATTTTTGTTGTTTTTCAGTTTTTGACATAAATTGAAAGTATCGTAGTCCTATACATTGTGTGTAAAATTCATGATGAATGGACCAACAGAAATGACCCAGAATTATGTGGAAAAGTCTGGTTCCATTGACTTACATACAGTAAATATACAGTAGAGTATATATTTTCCTTCTCCTGTAAAGTTATCATTTTGGAGATATGAGGTATTTTCCGACAACAGCGATATCTATATATCTATACCTATATATCTATATCTATCTAGCTATAAACCTACTTTACTTTTAATGTAAGTCAATAGAACCAGACGTTTTTCCAAGAAATTTTGGGGCCTTTCTGTTGGTCCATCCATCATAAAATCTACACACAAGACCATGAGTACTTTTAAATTATGTCAAAAACTGAAAAACGTCAAAAATGAAGATTCTACAAATATATATATATATATATATATATATATATATATATATATATATATATATATATTTATATATGTATATGTAAATGTGTGCAGAAACTCAATGCAAGCATACAAATGCAAAAGACAACTCTCGGCCAATGCCCTTCTGTACAACCTCACTGTGTGTTCTTACGGTACTGTCATGGTTAAAACACTGAGTATTCAAGGGGGCGCTAGAGGACAAATCAGAGATCTACTGTTATTCCAACCAGAGCCGGTTTATGAGGAGCCTGGCCACTTCCTATTTCCCCCATTATATCAAAAACATGACAGCAAAACAGCAGAGGGCGCCCACGAGCGAGTCCTCAATGAATGGAGCTAAACAGCTAAAAACTTCTATCACTCGCCCAGAACTTTCCTTTACTTTTAGGAAGTAGAAGGATGCGTTTTACTTAAAAAGCAAAGAAAACTTACCTGTATGTTTCCTTTTTTCTACAGCAAACGGGTTTTGGTAGTAGGACGCTAGCATCACTGCTACTGAATGCTGATTGGTTGGTGAGCGGAGCAGCTCATTGGCTGTTATATGTCATGGACATATCTGAGGCACCGTTTAAAACATCTGTAACTCGAGTTCAAAAGCGTTAAAAATTATATCAGCGGTGTTAAAATGTTTTATGCTGTTCAGTGTTCAGGATATGACCACATTCGTTTATCCTAAAAATGTTTAAGCATTTATAAACTATGATTTTGCTCAAATGCTCCATCTTAACCTATTCATTTTGGACTCTCTCGAGAGCGCCCTCTAGCGTTTGAGAAAGCTGGAAAACATTACAGAGCAGCAGTTCTCCTCTCTACAAGCTCTCTGTTTCCAACATTCATAACTTCTCAACCTTTGAACGGTGCACGAGTGTTTGCTGCTTTACCTGTTCTTCAGAATGAAGCACCCCTTGCTGTAATGCTCACAATGCAAAACGTATTCAGATCTTAGATATTTACAAGCATATATGATCTATTATGATCTGTTATGATCATAAGGCATTAATTGAGATATTAATAAGCTAAATATATACAAAATCATCATTTATAGTGTACTTTCTATTAGGAGGTGTCTATCTTAAACCCTAACCTCTACATTTAGACTTGAAAAAATAATACATTATTTTTTTCAATATTGTTTTTTAAGATCTTTTTGAGTTATTTTAAAGTGAATTTGAAAGATTTTACATTTATCTTGAGTTTAATTTTTAGATAAAATAGTGCTGTCCCTACCGAAACACAGAGTTTTAGTCTGTAGGCGGAGCTTTGTTGCAGCCACACCCCTGCATTTTAGAGCAGGAAGTGAGGCTGCATCCGTGACCCTCACGGCCACATGGTGAGCAGTTAGATGCCATTGTTTTAAAGTAAATGTGTTCCAAAGTCTGAAAATAAGTTTGTAACATTAAAAATTGATAAAAATAATTGAACATTTTTGTGTTTTAATGAAAAATATCATGATTTTATGTGTGTACAACTGTTCAAAGCTGTCTTTGCTAGTCATGTACTGGCTAGCGTTTTTGAATTCTGCTCAAAATTAGGCTAAAATGGTCACTACTGACACATTTGGTAAAGTTTCAGTAGTGTAATGATTGTTTTGGTAGTGACAAAATGGAATGTTCATTTATTTTAATAAAGTAAACATAATTAAGGTACAGCGTCACTCAAAGCAAAAGGACTTTAGTCTAAATTCCAAGTCTGCCATCCTTGTATACTGCTTTAAAGGTGCTTTGTTTTCCTTTGACATTGAAGCCAACAGACACAGTCCTTCATGCATTTCTTATTGACTTGTTTCTTTCTGCTTTAGCCTGCGCAGTGGCATCTGACCACAGTGCTAGAAGAATACTGAAGCTCAGCAGCACCCCACGACATGTTCCTACACGTGTGTGGGGGGCCAGAAAGTAACAGGAAAAGCATCACTGAGGGGCGTGGTCCACCAGTGGAGTTGCTCTCACCATCCAGAACGTGAGCAGATTTATGTCCACAAACTGAGAGGCGATCCCTGAAGTGTGTGGATTTTCAGGTTGGTTCTCATTCAAGAGCCCACACCTCACACTCAGTGCCTCCCGACGTGATTGGATGCATTGAAAAGACAGCTGTAACCCTGATTACGGGTGCATACTGGGTTTCAGTGACAGTTACATCAGCATAACATGGCTTGAGAATGTCTTTTCTCAAATTAGGGTTCCACCATTCTTCATGTGACAAACATAACCCCCTGGTGGTCATGAAAATCATTGCATTTAAAGGGGAATTTCACTGGTGTTTGAATATTTATGCACAATTAAATGGTTAAGATCTAAGCAAAGTAATTCAGAGTGATTTGGTGTGAAATGCTTTGTTCTAGAGAAACCTAGCGAGTCAGTATTGTTCACAGTGGTGTGATAGGAGCCAGACGTCTGAAGAGTTTAATGGCTCTAAAAGCTCCCACATAGAAAACGTTCCCATGAAATGGTTATCAATATGCTACCTATTGCCTGAAACATTGTTTTATGGTAGTTTTATGATAAAATACATAGTTTTATGTTAGTTTTATGATAATATTTAGGCCTAAAACTTTTTTTTATCTAGAAGGGATACATGCAGGTCAATGTAAGGCAAAATAGTCTCTAAAGAAAACATAATTTTCCAGATTTACCACTATTTCACCATAATCAATATTGCACATAAAAGTCAGAAGACACATCTGGGTTCACTGGAGGTTTTTTATATAGTAAATAAAATGGCTATATTTGCATTGTTGGCATCTCGACCCCTGGTAGTGGTGAGTCAGTACGTTTCTCTATAATGCACTACTTCATATCAAACCACACTTTGTTTAGACCTTAGCAAGAGAAGTAGAAACATCAATGAAATTTCTATGAAAGAGCTCAATTAAAATGAACCAGTGCTGATAGATATTAAGCCATATGAAATGTGTGGCTTATGTAGCTGCTGTTACAGTGTGATGATGTTGTTTTATCGAAAATGCTGGGCTAAATATGACTTTTATTTAACTCAAGTCAAGATTTTTATATGAAATTTATCTGAACTTTTATTTATCAGGCTAACAGGCTGATAGTCTTTATTAGTATGCAGTTCATGATGATGATGCATTTTTGGTTGAAGGGGAATTCCAACATTTTTTCTACATTTCTGAATAACTTAATCGTTGAGATGCAAAGTCATTCAGAATGGTTTGATGTGACTCAGATTTCTTTACAATGGTGGTGATAGGAACCAGGGGTTGCATCACCTCTTCTTTTAACAACACTCTGTAATTGTTTGGTAACTGAGGAGACACTGCTGTAGCTTTGAAAGTGAAATGTTTTCCCAATTTTGCGTGAAATAGGATTCCAGCTGCTCAACAGTTCTGGGTCTCCTTTGTCGATTTTTCATTTCTTAATGCGGCAAATGTTTTCAATGGGTGACAGGTCTCGACTGCAGGCAGGCCAGTTTAGCACCCGTACACTTTTACTATGGAGCCATGCTGTTGTAATACATGCAGAATGTGGTTTGACATTGTCTTGCTGAAATAAGCAAGGCCTTCCCTGAAAAAGACGTCATCTGGATGGCAGCATATGTTGCTTCAAAACCAGCATTAATGGTGCCTTCACAGATGTGCAAGTCACCCATGCCATGTGCACAATGAGTGCGTTTACATGCACTTCATAATCCGATAACTGCAGAAAATCAGAT